CCAGTTGGATGGCCTTGCAGTCCAAGGGACTCAATGCAGGAGTTTTCTCCAGCACCAGAGTTCAAAGGCCTCCCTTCTTTGGCGCTCAGCCTTTCTTATGGTCCAACCTTCACAGCCATCCATTGCAACTGGGAAAACCAGGTTTTTGTAGGTGTAGGGTAAATAATCTGCTGAATTTTTCCTCTGCTGTACCCTCCACCTCCCCTCTCTGTTTGGTCTTTAGAAGATCCTTTTAACTGTGTACCCTGGTCTGTTCATGAGGGGATTAAGGCTAGCAAACTCTTGTTGGTGTTTTATAAGGCATTCAAAGCTGGGATTTTCAGTGGGCATTTGGGCTGACATGTTAGATAGGCCCATTTCGAGAGTTGGTATGACGGGATTGTCAGATCTCGTGCCTGTTATTCCTCCCGCTCCTCTTCCCCATCATTGATGCAACAATTATTATTAAAATGTATTATTGTAAATGGGTGCAACGAGAAACGCACTAACCAGGCCTGGGAAGGAGGCTGCTCCCACCATGCAGGGGTCCCCTTGGTTCACAGCTTCCCCCTCTGCCTGCAGATGTGGACGAGTGTGCGATGGGGAAACACGGCTGCAGCCAGCTTTGCATCAACACGGCCGGAAGTTACCGCTGCACTTGCCATCCAGGGTACGAGCTCCAGGCGGATGGACAAACTTGCCGGGCTCTGAAAGTGCCCCCCACCCCAGCTCCCCCAGGTGAGATCAGACTGGCTTAATTCTTGTCTGGCAAGGGTGTTGGGGGAGGGATTTGGGCTGTGCGTGCTTTCTCACAACGAAATGCAGAGGCCAACGGTTGACTTTGAGCCATTGCATGGAATTTCTCCTCCCCTCTCCCATTGTTGGGATTTGCAACTGGGCCCTCCTTCTGGCCACCTTCGTATCTGGTGACTTGCCTTGCTTGTTTTGGCTTAGAAAAGCTAGAGATACAGACACAGATATAGACTAATAGAGTTGAAAGGGACCTTGTAGGTCATCTAGTCCAACCCCCCACCCAAGCAGGAGATCCTACATCATTTCTGACAGAGGGCAGCCCAGTCTCTTCTTGAAAGCCTCCAGTGATGAAGCTCCCACAACTTCCGAAGGCAACTTCTGTTCCATTGGTTGATTGCTCTCGCTGTCAAGAGAATTTCTCCTTATTTCTAGGTTGAATCTCTCCTTGGTCAGTTTCCATCCATTGTTCCTTGTTTGGCCTTCAGGGGCTTTGGTGAACAGGTTGACCTCCTTCCTCCTCTCTGTGGAAGCCTCTCAAATACTGGATCACTGCTATCCTGTCTCCCCTGGTTCTTCTTTTTCATTGGACTAGGCATACCTGATTCCTGCAACCGTTCTTGATATGTTTTAGCCTCCAGTCCCCTCATCATCCTGGCTGCTCTTCTCTCCACTCTTTCAAGAGTCTCAGCATCTTTTTTTTATAGTGTGGTGACCAAATCTCAGTTAGCTTTGAGATAAACTAAGCCGGCTCTCTGGTTCGAAGCTTCTGTCCAAGGCATGGTGGGAAGCAGGAAAAGGGGAAAAATCAAGGACCAGGTTGA